CCCCCCCCCCTCCCTTTAACCCTTCCTCCTTTGGCCCCCCCCCCCCCCCACCACCACCACCACCACCCCCATCGCCCACTCTCCCTCCCCAGGCCTCTCGGCCGCCGAGTCCAAGAAGCTCGACCGGCGGTCGCTACCAAGGCCAAACCTCTCCCTCGCCTCGCTGCGCGCGTCGGCCGCCGCGCCGCCCGCCGCCGCGTCGGCCGACGCCGCCGCGCCGGCGGCCGACGGCAGCGCGGTGGACGCACTCGAGGGTGATATGCTCCCCGTGTGGCGCTCGGTGCTCGGCGTGCCCGACGTCGAGGGCGGCGACAACTTCTTCGACCTCGGCGGCCACTCGCTGCTCGCCGCCCGACTCGTGCGCGAGATACAGGCGAGATCACCCGAGATGCGCCGAGATGCGCCGAGATGCGCCGTTTGGCTCGTGCGCGAGCTGCGGGCGAGGTGGTCCGAGCTGGTGCGAGGTGGTCCAAGCTGGTGCGAGATGGCCCGAGGTCCGCCCGAGCCTGAGGCGCGAGTGCGGGGGTGCAGGCGCGCCTCGCCATCTCGCTGACGGTGCTCGACCTCTTCGACGCGCCGACGCCCGCCGGGCTCGCGCGCGCCGTCCGCGCGAGGGCAGAGGGCGCCACCCCGCGTGCCGCGCCGGCCGCCGCTGCGCCTCTGGATGTTGCCTCGCGCGAGCTGGCCGTGGTCGGCATGGCGGGCCGGTACCCAAAGGCGGGCGGCGCCGGCTCCCCTCGGCTCCCCTCGGCTCCTCTCGGCTCCTCTCGGCTCCTCTCGGCTCCTTTCGGCTACTCTCGGCTCCTCTCGGCTACTCTCGGCTACTCTCGGCTACTCTCGGCGTGTGCTCCCAAAGGCGGGCGGCGTCGAGGCGCTGTGGAAGATGCTGCGCGACGGCGGCCGCGGGGCTGCCGATCTCGGCGAATCTCGGCGGGTCTCGGCTCATCTCGGCGAATCTCGGCCGGTAGGCGGTCACGGGCTGACGATGTGGAGCCGCGCGCAGCTCTTCGCCAAGGGAGTGGGCGCGGACGTGTTTGCCCACGAGCGGTTCGTGCCCGCCGCGTATTTGGTGGACGGCGCGGAGCGGTTCGACGCGGCGTTTTGGTCGCTCTCGCCACACGAGGCGGCCATCATGGACCCGCAGCATCGCCTCTTCCTCGAGGTTGCGTGGCAGGTGACACTTCCTAGCCACTTTCTAGCCACTTCCTAGACACTTCCTAGACACTTCCTACTTCCAGCCTCTTCCTCGAGGTTGCGTGGCAGGCCGTCGAGCACGCGGGGCAATCAACGATGACTAATCAATCACCATTCATCATCATTGTGGCAGGCCTTCGAGCACGCGGGGTACGCGCCGCTCTCCGGCACGCCGGAGCGGACGGCGGTGGTTGCGGCGCCCGGCATCGACGGCTACATGCACCACCACCTCGATGGCGCGCCGCTCAAGGACGCCCTCTCCCCCGGCGACATCTTCCTGGGCGAGGTTGGCTCCGAGAAGGACCGGCGCCGCTAGATGCGCGAGGGGACTTCTCTCTTCCAGCAGCCGCACACCTCCCTTCCAGCAGCGACCCTGACTCTGGTTGTGCCCCCGCACCGCGCTGCAGGACTACATCGCGACGCGCCTCTCGTACGCCCTCGACCTGATGGGCCCCTCCCTCACCGTCAACTCTGCCTGCTCGTCGGGGCTGCTCGCCGTCGCGCACGCCGCCGCGCCCCTCCTCACTGGCGAGGCAGACCTCGCCCTCGGCGGCGCGTCGGCGCTAACCTTCCCATCGCACGGCTACGTCTTTGAGGAGGGGCTGGTCGCCTCCATCGACGGCAAGGTGCGAGACGCCCCCGCCGCCCGAGCGAGAGGCCTCCCCACATCTCCCCACATCTCCCCACATCTCCCCGCCGCCCGAGCGAGAGGCCTCCACCACCACAACGTGCGTCAGCGGCGCCTCGCCAGGGTACCTCACTGCACCTGTCCACCTGTCCACCTGTACACCTGTGCACCTGTACACCTGTACCTGTGCCTGTCGCCCCCCCCCCCCCCCTTCCCCTTCCCCCTTCCCCCCACCCCCCACCCCCCTCCTCCGGCCTGGCACGCCTGACGCACCCCTCGCGCGTGCGTGGGAAAAGGTGCGCCCCTTCGACGCGGCGGCGCACGGGACCGTCTTCGGCGACGCCGTCGGCGCCGTCGTCCTCAAGCGTGCCGCCGACGCCGACGCCGCCGCCGACGCCCCTCTCGCGAGGCTGCTCGGCTACGCGGTCACCAACGACGGCGCCCGCAAGGCGGGCTCTCTCGTCCTCCTAGAACCCTTCTCGGACCCTTCTCGGAGCCGTCTCGGAACCCTCTAGGCTGGCTACGCTGCCCCGGGGGTGGCCGGCCAGCGCGCGGCGGTCAGCGGCGCGCTCGGCGTGGCAGGAGTCGCGGCGTCGTCGCTCTCGTACGTCGAGTGCCACGCGACTGGCACGCTCATCGGCGATGGCATCGAGGCGCGCGCGCTCACTGACGCGCTCGCCGCCTCGGATGCCGGCGCCGCCGCCGCCGCGTCGCGCGGCACCTTCATCTCGCTCGGCTCAATCAAGGGCAACCTCGGCCACGCCAACGCGGCTGCGGGCGTCACGGGGCTGCACAAGGCGTTGCTCTGCCTCTCACGCGCGGAGCTCGTCCCGACCGCCCACTTCGCCAAGCTCAACAGGAACGTCCACCTCGCCGGCACTCCGCTCGCCGTGCACCAGGCCGGGGCTGTGCCGTGGGCGAGGCACACCTTCTCGGAACTTTCTCGGAACCCTCTCGGAACCTCCTCTAGGCCGGGGCTGTGCCGTGGGCGAGGCCGACAGGCGTGCCGGGAGCGGCCAGCGAGGCGGCGCGCCGCTGCGGCGTCTCCTCCTTCGGCATCGGGGGCACCAACGTGCACATGATCCTCGAGGAGCCGCCCCGCGCCGCGGGCAAGCCCGCCGCATCCGCCGCCGCCGCTGCCGCCGCCGCATCCGCCGCCGCCGCCGCCGCCGCCCCGACGCGCCGTGCCGTGCACATGCTCTGCGTCTCGGCAAAGTCGGGCGCCGCGGCGCGACGCGCCGCGGAGGCGCTCGCGGCGGCCCTCGAAGGCGAGGGGGCGCCGCCACTCGAGCACGTTGCGGCCCAGCTGCTCGGCGGCCGGGAGCTCTTCTCCAAGCGCGTCGCCGTCTCCGCCGCCACGCGCGCCGAGGCCGTCGCGGCGCTGCGCGCCGCCGCCGCCGCCCCGGCCCCCGCCCCCGCCCCAGCGTCGCCATCGCCGAGCAAGAGCAGCAGCATGGTCGACCTCGAGTCGGCGGGCGGCGGCGGCGGCGGGGCAAGACGCCGGGGCAAGACGCCGCCGGTGGTGCTCCTCTTCCCCGGCCAGGGCTCGCAGTGCCCGCGCATGGGAGAGGGGATCTACCGCTCCGAGCCCGCCTACCGGCGGCACGTCGACCGGATGTGCGCCACGCTGCGCCCCCTCCTCGGCTTCGACTTGCGCGAGCGGCTCTTCCCCGCCGCCGGCGCCGAGGACGCCGACGGCTTCCGCGCCGCTTTCGACGCGCCGACGGTGACGCAACCCGCCATCTTCGTGACGGAGCTCGCGCTGGGCCGCACGCTCGTCGAGGAGTACGGCCTCGCGCCCGCCGCCCTCGCCGGCCACTCGATCGGCGAGTTCGTCGCGGCGACGCTCGCCGGGGTCCTCCCCGAGGAGGACGCGCTCGCCCTCATCGCCACGCGCGCGCGACTGTCCGAGGAGGCGCAGCCGGGCGGCATGCTCGCGGTGGCGCTGAGCGCCGCGCGCGCGGCCGAGGTTGCGGCGATGCCGTCGCACCGCGGCAAGGTGTGGCTGGCCGTGCGCAACAGCGGCGGCCGGACCGTCCTCGCCGGCGACGACGACGCGCTGCTCGCAGTTCAGGCGCCGCTCGACTCGGGCGTCTCACTCCTCAACTATGAGATCGCTCACCACCAGCGCACCACCACAGGCGCTGCTCGACTCGGAGGGCGTCCGCTCGCGCCGGCTGCCGCTGCCTCGCGCCTACCACACGCCCCTGATGGAGTCGGTCGCTGACGGCCTCGCCGCTGTCCTGGCGCGCGTGCGGCTCGCGCCACCAAAGCTGCCGTTAGCGTGCAACGGCGGCGGCGGCTGGATGGAGGCCGCCACCGCCACCGACCCGTCGTACTGGGCGGGGCACGTGTCGCGCGCGGTGCGGTGGGACGCAAACATGGACCTGCTCGCGGCGCTCGCCAAGGAGGCCGGAGGAGACGGCTTGCTCGCGGTTGAGGTTGGGTCGGGCTCATCCCTCGCGCCGCTGCTCGCCGAGTGCACCGCCGACGGCGCGAGCGCCCTCTCGGTCCTCTCGACGCTGCGCCACCCTCGCGAGGACTGGGCCGGCGGCGCCGCCGACGAGCGCGTGTTTGCCGACGCGCTGTGTGGTTTGTGGGAGGCGCGCGCGCCGCTCACGCTGCGGCGCGCGCGGCACGGCTCGCGGCGGTACGCCGCGGCGAGGCTGCCGGGCTACGCGTTTGAGCCGGCCGTGCACTGGCTCAAGCCCGAGCGCTCGATGTACGTCCGGCCGACGGCGGAGGAGGTGAGCGCCGCGCAGGCGGCGCTCCTCGCCGCCGCCGCGCCGCCCTCCAAGTTTCCGCTCGACCCCGCCGGCCTGCCGGCGCTGCAGCCGCTGCGCCGCGCGTCGCCAGGCTCGCGGTGGGTGTCCGCTTACTGCCTCGCCTTCGCGGGCGGCTCGACGGCGGCGTTCGCGGAGCTCGCCGCCGGCGCGCCCGAGTGGATGGAGGTGGTTGGCGTCGAGACGCCCGGCAAGGGCGCGCTCGCCGACCACACGTGGCCGGGCGAGGTGGCGCCCGCCGGGATGCAGGCCGGCGCCGCGGCCGAGGCGGAGGCCGAGATGATCGAAGAGCTCGCCGCGCGCATCGCGGCGGACGCGGCGGGCTCGGCGATCGTCCTCGTCGGCTGGTCGATGGGAGGGATGCTGGCTGCGGAGGTCGCGCTCCACCTGCAGGCGGCGGGCTCGCCGCCGCACCTACTACACGTCGCCGGCCGCATGGCGCCCGGCTCCTTCGTCGCCGCTTCGGAGGCTGACCTCGACTCGTACTCACTCGCCTCGCCCGAGGTGCGCGCGTCGGCCGCGTACCGCGAGTGGCTCCTGCCGACGCTGCTTGCCGATTTGCGCGCCGACGGGCGCGCGGAGCGGAGAGTCGCCGATGCGCTCCGCCGCGCCACCGGCGGCGGCAGCGGCGCGGCGCTCGATTGCGCGCTGCAGATCTGCTGCGGCGACTCGGACGCGTCGTTCCCGCCCTCCGCCGCGGGCGGCTGGCTGTCGCTGACGTCGGGGAAGCGCAGCGTGCACACCCTGGCGGGCGGGCACGACATCCTCACCAGCGGATCCGCGGAGCTGATGCAGTTGCTGCTGCGGCGCCTGCTGCCGCAGGCGCCGCTCTACGCAGTGCGGTGGGACCGACTGCCCTCGCGCGCCGGCGAGAGCGAGGCTGCCGCCGAGGCGGACTCGGACGACGAGGCTCTCCACGCGGCCCACGGGGAGCGAGCTCCGCCGGCGTCACCGACGCCGCCGTCGCCGCCGGCAGCTGCGCCGCCGCCGGCCGCTGCCCCGCCGCCTCGCGCTGCGCCGCCGCCCACCAAACCCGCCGTGCCGCCCGCCGCGCCGCCCCGGCTGCTTCGGCTCGGCGCGGACGAGGTCGGGCTGCGGCCGCGCGACGCGGCGGCGCTGCGCACGACCCTCGGCTTGCTCGTGTACATCGAGCCACAGGAGGCGCCGGCGGCGCAGCGCGCCCAGTGCGCCGCCCTGCTGCGCCTGCTCCTCGCGGCCGCCGCCGCCGGCGGCGGGCGGGTCGTCCTCGTCTGCAGCGCAGACACGCGCTCGGCGCTGGCGGCCGGCGCGTCCAAGGCGGCGCCGCTCGAGATGCCCGAGCTGTCGGTGCAGCGCCTCTTTCTCCCCGCCGACGCCGACCTGCTCGGCGCCGACCGGTCGGTCGGCTCGCGGCTCGGCGCCATTCGGCCGCTGCTCGACGGCTGGGTGCGGTGGATCGCCGCCTCGTCCGCCGCGCGGCGGGAGGAGTGCGACTTGCTCCTCGACGCGGCGGGCGGGCCGCCGCGCGCGCCCCGCCTCGCCTCGCTGCCTCCGCCTCCTCCCGCCGACGTGCCCGCTCTCGACCCCGCCGCGTCCTACCTGGTCACCGGCGGCTCGGGCGGGCTGGGCGGCGCGCTGGTGGAGTGGCTGCTCGACGCGCAGGGCGTGCCGCCCGCGCACGTCGTGCTGCTCTCGCGCCGCGGCGCGCCGCACCCGCGCGGCGTCACGTCGCTCGCTGCCGACCTCGGCGATGCCGACTCGCTGCGCGGGTGCGCCGGCCTCGCGGCGCTCGGGGCGGCGCTGCCGCGGCTCGGCGGCCTCTTCCACCTCGCGGGCGTGCTCGACGACGGCCTCATCTCGAACCTCGACGAGGCGCGGATCGGCTCCGTGGTGGCGCCAAAGGCGGGCGTGCTGCCGCTGCTGCGGCAGCTCGCCCGCGCCTCCGCTTCGCCGCCATGGGTGATGCTCTCCTCCTCCACGTCGTCGCTGCTGGGCTACGCGGGCCAAGCAAACTACTGCGCCGCCAACGCCATCTTTGACCACGCCGCGGCCTTCGGCCTGCCGCCGCCGCCCGCCGAGCTCGGCTCGCCGCCGCGCGTCCTCACCGTCAACTTTGGCCCGTGGGGCGAGGTCGGGATGGCGCGCGAGGGCACAAAGGCGCACGCGCTGTCGGTGGCGAGTGGCGAGACGCCGATGGCGACAGGCGCCGCCATCGCCTGCATAGCGCACGCCGTCCGCGCCGTCGGGGCGGGCGCCGCATCGCCGCCCGCCGCCTCGCCGCCCGCTGCCTCGGCGGCCTTGAGCTCGGCATCTCCTCTCGCTGCCTCGGGACCCTCCTCGCCGGCGCCGGCGCCGCACCCGGAGCAGGCGGAGCCCAACCTGCAGTTTTGCATCGCCGACGTGTCTTGGTGGCGATCTCCGTGGCCCGACCACCCGCTAGTGCAAGGGGTCGTCCGCCGCTCGCCGGCGGCGGTGCCGTCGGCCGCAGTCGTCGCCAGCGGCGGCGGCGCCGCCGAGGAGGGCGGCGCGGAGGCGGGCGGCGTGCTTGCGCCGGAGCTGGACGCCGAGGCGAAGGCCGCCAACGGGCGCGCGCGCGCCGAGGCGTGGATGCGCGGGCGGCTCAACGAGTGGGAGCTGGAGACGCGGCTCGCAGAGCTGGGCCTCGACTCGCTCGACCTGGTGCAGCTGCGCAACGCCTTCAACAAGCACTTCCGCACCGAGGTGCCCCTCTCGGTCTTCTCGAACGCCAACCAGACCCTCGCCGCGCTGCTCGGCCGCGTGGGGGAGCTCATCTGAACACGGAGCCTCATCGTGAGTGTAGTACTGGGCGTGAGTGTAGTATCGGGCGTGAGTGCTCGCCATGTGCGTTTGTTGTAAGGAAGCTGCGTGAAAACCCCGACCTGGTCAGGTCGTTAAACTGACTCAAGGAGTAGCACATCTCAGACTCTCCACCGACCTGGTCAGGTCGTTAAACTGACCCTAGGAGTAGCAATTCACCCCCCCCCCCCCCCCCGCCCCGCCCCGCCCGCCCGTGCTCGTGCGATCTCTAGAGCACGGTGTCCCTCCTAGCACGGACGAGGGAGTACTCAGCCTGCTGTTGCTCAGGGTAAAATTCTTTCCCGTGAAAGGTCAGCTACAGCTTGCTTGCAGAGCATGCTGTCTGGTATACGGCTCTAGCCCCAGGGCCCCAGCCTACTGCCTACTCCGCGTGAACTCTCGAGGGATCTCGAGTTGCGGAGAGAGCGCTGCTCGTTATTGAGAAGAAAAGACGTCCGATGGCGCTGTCGCTGGTCTGTGACTGTGTACTGTGCGGCCGCTACGCGCTAGCCTCTCGCTCTGAGGAGGGCGTCCATAGAGACACCTGACCTCACATGAGTCATGACCCCACACACGGTCCTGTCCGGCCTCGCGGTCGGCGAGATTGCTAGAGGCGGAGCAAGCCTGCTCTATAGTCTCACATGTTACTTCCTGTCGTCTGTTGTGTTGTTGTGCCCTTGTTTGTGTCCTACTCCTTTGGCACCTTGGAGTGCTGGGGGGGGCGACAGGGAGGATGTGGCCTTGAGTTATGTGTACGCCAACTCAGGGTGTGTGGCAGCCACGCTGGCTGAGTGTCTTGTGAGCTTGTTTGTGTCTGTGTCGCTCGTGCGTGTCGTCATCATCTGTCCCGCGTCCACCCATACCGCGCTGGTGTCCAGTCCGAGCCTGACTGTTCTTCACCTTTCTACCTATGTAAATAGGGAGGTGATGATGAGTCAGGCCGCGCGGCGGGCGGTTAGACGTTACTGTGCGAATCGATTGTTACTGTTCGGGAGGCTGCTAGGGGGCCGCGGAGCGTGTCTCATTGCGGCAGGCGACGCAGAAAGGGAGGAAGGCGCCCGGCTCCTGCACGTGGAAGCGGAACCCCCCCGCCGGGTCCGACACGAGCACCTCGCCTCGAAGCGTCCGGCGTGGATCGCTCGGCCGCGGGCCGTGCGCTCCACGTCTGCGCGCGACGGGAGAAGCAGGCAAAGCCGCGCAGCGCGGCGGGCGAGCTTCGCCGCCTTGAGACACGTCGGTGACTGTGCTGCGCGGAGATGCGCCTCGACCCTCGTCCTGCGGTGAGGTACGAGGTAAGGTAAGGTTAGGTGAACTTCTCCACACACACGAGGTGGTGGGGCAAGGGGGGGCGACCCTCGCGTCTCCACGTCTAACGACAGGAGCCCCACGGCAGAAAAGGGTTGGCTGGAGGCGGTCGCTAGACTGAGATGAGACCGCCAGTGGAGTTGGGGGTCCACCGAGCACCGCGCTGCGAGCCTGTCGTGTCCCTTGTCAGGACCTAAGACCGAGACCGAGACCGTTGGGTAGCGAGGATTGGTGTGACGCGATCCACGCACCACGCAGCTCGCAGGCGACCTACCTAACTAACCTGTGAGTGAGAGGTTGAGGTCGAGCCCTGGCCCAGGGGATGGGGGCATTCACAGCCTTGTTCTTGAGAAGAATTCTAGAATACAAGCCTCTCTCACAGCACACTGGCACAACAAGGGCGCGGGCAGGCGCGGACACAGGTACACAGAAGAAATACCTCGGCGGTCGGCGCTGTGCTTGGCCGACCACCGAGGAGTGTGCGGCAAGCAGCATCTTTTGCCGAGGGGAGTCGAGGAGAGAGCAGCACGATGGCCGACGGTGATCCCAGCGACCCGCCGAGCGAGGCCCTGTGCGCCGACTGGGCGCGGCGCGGAGAGTGCAGCAGCAACCCTGCATACATGCTCGCATCCTGCAGCAGCGCGTGCGAGGCCGTCGTGCAGGCGCCGCCAGAGACGGGCGGCGTGGCTGTGCTCCTGTCCCCGCTTCTGTCGCTTCTCGCGGCCGCAACGGCGGTGGTACTGCTCGGAGTCGCGTGGGTGTGGATGAACCGCCACCAGCGGAGGCAGGACGCGGCTGCTGCGCGCTCGAGCGAAGTCGGCCTCGCGATAGCGCCCGAGACGGGGCAGCTCGCGAGGGCGCATGCGGCGGCCGAGGAGGCAAAGGCGATCTCCGCGAGCCGGGCGGCGTGGATGAATGCGCGGTTCGGCGCCGGTGCGAGGCGGCGGCCCGCGGCGGCGAGCGCCGGCCGAGGCAGCGGTGCCGGCGCCGGGGAGAGGGCAGATGCGGCTCCCGCAGTGCGAGCGGGGAGGAGAGGCGGCGGCAGTGGCGCCGCTGGCTGTGATGTCTGGAGCGTGGACGAGGCCGAGGAGGCCGAGGAGGCCGAGGAGGCCGAGGAGGCCGAGGAGGCGGACGGCGACGGCGACGGCGACGGCGAGGCTGCCGCGGCTAGCGGGGCAGCCGACGGCGGTGAACGCGCGGAGGAGAGGCAGCGCTTCTCAGCGGTCCAGCGGAGCTGGATGGCGCGTGCGCGCGGCGCGGCGAGACGTGGCCACACTCCGCCTCCTTCGCCGCCGCGCATGTTTACGCCGCCGGCCGGGTCTGATGCCGCGGCCGCCAGCCCCTAGATGCGGGACTACGGACCCGTGTACTATCCTTCCTCTCGAGAGAACACGTACTCGGCTGTCTAGCAGCTGTATTCCCTCTCTTCGCAGCCCTTTGACTCTGCTCTCTCGATTCACGGCTCGAGGCGGCCTTTTCGCCTGCAGCTCACGACCTGACCGCTGCTGGTGTGCTCGCGACGCAGGCCGCCAACCCGAAGCCGCGCAGAGGAAGAATCGCGGCCGATCGGCCGCCTTGGCCCACGGCGATGGCGTCGTCGTCGTCGTCGTCGTCGTCTTCGGCGGCGGCGGGGCGGGGCGGGCAGGGGGCGGCGGGGTGAAGCGCAGTGTGGCACACCGGAACCTTCTCGGAACATTCTCGGAACCTTCTCGGAGCATTCCTGTAGGTGGAGCGCGGTGTGGCACAACGGCGGCGGCGAGAGCAGCGCCGCGCTGCGGCGGCTTGCGCGCGGGGAGGGGTCGCTGCTGGTAGTCGCCGTGGAGGGGGTGGAGGCTGGCTCGCTCAGTCTGGTCCGAAGCTGCTGGCCGGACGGCGACCTTCTAGGAACCTTCTAGGAACCTTCTAGGAACCTTCTAGGTCCGACACTGCTGGCCGGACGGCGACGTCGTAGCGGCGCTGCAGTCCCCCGGGGTGGTGCCGTTGCGGATGGGCGTGGGCGAGCCGGAGGCGCTTTGTTTTCCCCTGCCCCCCCCCCTCTTTCGTTCTCTCTCTCTTCTCTCTCTCTCCTCTCTCTCTTCTCTCCCTTTTCTCTCCCTCCCCCCCCCCTCCCCCCCCTTCCTCTCCCTCTCTCCCTCTCTTCTCCCCTCCCCTCTCGATCTCTCGATCTCTCGATCTCTCGACCCCCGAACCCCCCCTGCCCCCCTTCTCTCTTTCCCTCTGCCTGGCGGCGGACCCCTGATGAGATGACGCGAGATTGACCCGAGATTCGCCGGGGTCGTAGGCGGCGTTCTGGCTGGCGGCGCTCGGCGCAGCGCACGTGACACCGCTCATCGCGCTTCTGTGGGGCGAGCGGGAGGTGCGATCGTGTGTGTGCGGGAGTTGGTTTTGGGGGGGCGAGGGGCAAGTTGCTCACCCGCGCGCCGGGCCTCGCACTCTGAATGCCGTGCCAGCTCCTGCCTGTCGAAGTGTGGAGTCGCGAGAGTCGCTTGGGCCTTGCCCCACCACCGTTGTGTGTGTGGACACGTTGACCTCACCTGACCTTAGGTGGTGTTGCTGCCACGCGCCATGCCGAAGGGGCGGGCGCACGCGTCGATCCCGTCCACCGTGGCGGCGCGCCTTGTCGCGTCGGCCGGCACTGCGGCCGCCGACCCGTTCTCGCCGCGGCGGGCGGCGCGGCTGCTGCGGCGATACGACGATGCGGAGGCGAGCGGTTTCCCGCGGCCGTCGCTCGAGATGCCACGGGCAGAGCCGGCACGCGACGGCAGCGGTGGCGGCGGCGGCGAGGGCGGGAGCGAGGGCGGAGGCGGCGCCGGGGATGCGGGTCTGATGGCGCTGCAGGACGCCGAGTATGCGCTCGCGCTTGAGGCTGACCAGAGGGCGGAGGCGGAGGCGGCGGCGGAGGCGGCGGAGGCGGCGGCGGCGGAGGCGGCGGAGGAGCGACGAGCGGTGAGGCGGGCGGAGGCGGGCGCGCGCGGCGCGGCGCTTGGCACGGAGCCGGTTGCGGGGCCGGGCGTGACGAGCCTGCAGGCGGTGCTGGCGGACGGGCGGCGTGTGGCGCGCCGCTTCGCGCTCGAGGCGCCGCGGCGAGATTGTCGCGCACTTGTTGTCCTCACCAGCGACGTTTCCGCGACACCTCCTAGCGCCTTCCTGGGCATGGCGCGACGTTTCCGCGACACCTCCTAGCGCCTTCCTTAGGCGCCGCTGCGCGACGTGTTTGATTGGGTGGGTGCATTGGGCGACGGGACGGACTTCGAGCTCGTGTCGAGCTTCCCGCGCCGCACTTTCGCCGCCGCGGCGGCGGACGAGACCCTCGCGTCGCTCGGCGCACAGCCTAGACTCTACCCCACCTAGCACACGCGACACACCCAGGCCGCATCACCCCCCTCCTCCGTGTTGATGCACTGCGCCTTTGCGTGCGGACCTCACGGCTCACGCCTCTCTTTCTGATGCTCGTCTGCCGCCTTGCCTGTTTAGGCCTCGGAGGGCAGACGCTGTACCAACGCCTCGACGAGGAGGGCGATGGGTCGGGGAGCGACGCTGCCGCGGGAGGCGAGCCGGGCGGAACGGGCTGAGGGTGGCTTGCGGCTGCGCGGGTGGGAGGAAGGGTGCGACGAGGAGTCGGGAGCGTCCGCCGGAAAAGTGTATGACGACAGTGCCGGGAAGAGCCGCGGGCGAGTCCGAGTGTTGTGTTTCGGTGTGCGTGTCTTGTCTCTTGCGTTGGGTCTCGCTCTCGGCGTCAATGTGCTGCTGTGCGTGGTAGATGTAGAGCCGTGCGCATTGGCACGCTGCCAGAAAATAACTCGCGCTATCCGTCCTATAGCGAGAGAGAGAGAGACCGAGCCGCATAAAAAATAAAATAGAGCCTCGAGGGGCGTCGAGGGAGCCCTCGTGTGGCTCGTGGACTGTTCTTGCTTCTTCACCTTCCTACCTATGTATGTTTTTATGGTGATGCTGCCACGATGCACAATGTGCTGCGTCGAAGCACCGGCCCTGAGTCCGAGTGAGTTTGATGTCCCTCATTCAGTAGTGCAACTGAGAGCTGCAAAAGGGGATGAAACAGCCCTTGGGGTGCTTGTATAGCCCTTGGCGCTTGGGTGCTGCCGCACAGCACCTTGTGCAGTGGCAATTTTCTGGCACTAGTGAGTTTGATGTCCTCATCAATAGGGTGCAACTGACAGCCAGCAAAAGGGGACGAAACAGCTGATCAACTGACTCTCGATGAGAGGGTCACGGCTCGGGACGGCTCGGTCGGGGCCCTCGGGACCGCTCGAGACCGCTCGGGACCGCTCTCGGACATTGGTCATTGCTGCTCCTCCGCCCCCCTGGCGCGACGTGAGTCCCTCTACACCGCTTGTGACTGTGCATGCATTCCAGGACGGTGTCAGAGACGCTTACTTAGACACCATTGGCTTGTGGGAGGAGTAGTTTCTTTCTTGTATTGACCAACATCCGGGATCGAGGTGGCCCCACCCAAGGGCCGCCCATCAAAGGGACTGCGACAGAAGACGCCCAATCTTGCTGCGCAAGAAAAGCGGCAGATGTCGGCACGCCGAAATAAAAGGCTCCGCATGAGCACAATGGAGGAAATTTAAGTTTCCACTTAAGTTTCCACAGTAGCACTAGGCTCTAGGCACCACGCTGTCGTCAAACCCTGGAGGGAGGATCGCTAGTGGCCCCCTCACGAAAAAAACTCTTGTTCGTTTGCCCGGTTTTGCGCCGGCGGCCGGCTCGCGGTAATGAGCGGAGACACGCTAACCACCAGTTACCAGGACGCCGAGGAGGCGTTGAGCCGCGCAAAGCTCACGGCCGAGCGCACGGAGCGTGTCGGCGCCCACGTCCTCGGCACGCTCGGTGACCAGCGGCAGCAGCTCCTCGGCGCTGCGGACGGTGCGGCAGCTTGAGCCTTGCTGCGGCCAGCCAGCCACGGCTCCACTCCCACACCCCTCGACCTGTCCACCCCTCCACCACCCCAGGCCTCGAGGCCGCGGACCACGAGCTGGGCCGCACGAAGCAGACCATCAGCGACCTCTTTGCGCGGCTGGCGCGGCGTAGGCGCGTGGCGCTCCTCCCTCCCTCATCGCTCTCGCAGCTCTTAAATTCCACCACCACCGGTGACCCGCGCCCCTGTAGGCGCTGCCTCATCGGCACCGCCGCCGTGCTCGCCCTCATCGCCGCGGTCCTCCTCTATTGGAAGCTGCGCAATGCCTTTGGCGGAGGCGGCTAGCGGCGCCATCCTCGCCTTGGCCGGTCCCGGCTCTGCGGCTGTTTCTGAGAGAGGTGTGATTGTCTTTCGTCCAAGCCACAGTCTCACTTTGTCTCAAGATTGGCGCAAACCAACGCGCAACGGCACAGGCACCTCTTATCGTAAAAGAGAGACGTGTGTGTGTTTTGTGGTGTGATGCTCTGAAGGATTGAGACACATTGAGAGAGACACCTCTGAGACACCCTCGGCGAAGGTCACCTTGCTCCGTGAGAGACTGTCACACTCCTCTCACATCACTCAAAACTCTCAAAAAGCATGTGCACAAAAGCGCCACTGCGCTGTTGCCGAGTCTGAGCGGATTCCGCGCGCCTTTTCCCCTGCACCTCCCCCCTCTCACTAACGGTCACTAGAGACACACTACGCCACGGTAGTTACGGCTAACAGTTTACTGTGGGCTCTCCATCTGATGACTGGGCTGGGTCTTTAGGCATTGTGGGGTTGGCAGTCCCATCGACCCTCATGAGACCTCCTGCGGTCTCTGAGGTGGACACCACAGTGGGTGTGGGAGAGTGGGACCACAGTCAGGATACACTCGAAGGCTGGGTAAGCAGTAGAGCTAGAGGTCGATACTCGACGCGTCCCACATGGTCTGTGTCGCTGTCGGGACGCTGTCGACAGGACGTCGAGCGACACCGGGGCAGTGCCACCCAGGAGTGGTCGGGCGGTCTTCCGTCATGAGAGAGCCACCATGTGATCCGTATGATGATTCCTGACAACCGCCTGCCCCTCAGTCAACTTTCGTCACAGTTCCCGCTCTGAGAGGAGCTGCGGGTCAGCTCGACAGCTGGAGCTGTATCGCCGGCGTGCGGCGGCCTGCCTCCGGAGGTGCCTCTGAGGCGGACATTTTTTGGTCACCGTGAGAGAACGCGTTCGAATTTTACACTCCGGAACTTCAACTCCACACGCGCACCGGTCAGGGCTACAATAGTGCCAGTGACGAGGCGGAGGCGCGAGTGAGTCGGAAGGCCGCGACCGTGATTTGTTCCCTTCATTTCCTACAATCGCTGTGAGCTCCCAGCCACGTACTTCCTCGCTTTCACCGCGTTTGGTGTACTTTGGCAAAGTCTTCTTTGGTCTTTGCTCTATTTGCACTTTTGCAAACTTGTGAAATTCCTTCAGTGAAACGGGGGCGGCCGAAAAACTGTAACAACGTAGGAATTCCTAATACTGTTTCATGATCATGTGAAGTTCTCTCTCTCAGTTCTTTTTTTTTAGCAATACCAAACAACTCTAACACTCACACGTAATTTGGGGCCTGGAGCCCTGTTCACGCGCGCGCGAGACGTGCAGACAGGGTTGCCAGGTGAGAGCGAATGGCGCGGTTCACGCCTCGCACAACAGAGAGAGAGATGCGCTCTGCATGGTGGGACATAAAAGAGAGCGAGTACTTGGGCGAGTAGGCCGTGCGGTCAACGCTGCCGCGCGCGACTTTGCGCGCGAGGCGGCGCAGCTTGAGAACGGCGGTGGGCGAGAAGCCGCCGCCGAACGTCTCGTGGAGCAGCAGGTTGAAGTTGTTGCGCTTGACAAAGATAAATGACGTGTGAGTGTTAGATTTGTTTGGTATTGCTAAAAATCTCTCTCTCACAAAGATCGCGTCGTGGTAGAAACCGCGATGCGCCTTGACGTAGCCGTGGCCGGTCTTGTGGGAGAAGGGTTGGCTGGGCTGCCCGCGCGCCTTGCAGCCCATGTTCAGGCGGCGGGCCTTCTCCTCGGTGTTGCCGAAGGCGTAGGAGTGGCCGACGGAGGCGGGCGTGCCGCCACTCGAGGCGTTGCCAACGCCCGTCGAGGAGGTCTTGAGGAGGGGCGTCCAGAGCTTGATCTCATTTACTTCATCGCTCATGAATTCACATGTGAAAGTGAAAGTTTGAAATTTCACTCACGAACCGCCTGTCAGCAGCGAGGCTTGTGCACCATAGCACAATTGCCGAATTGGCCAGGCCATAGCCCACAGATTCCTACCACAGCCCTCTCTAGACACTCTCGCAGACCGGCACGCGGCCAGAGCGGTTCGTGATCTGTCGCCCCGCTCCCGACTCCTGGGGCCGCGCTCACTCTTTGCTCAGCTGGTTGGCGCACCGGTCAAAGCTCGTCTCGAGCTCGCCGTACTTCGCGACCCACGGGTGTGCGGGTGCGGAGATCTTGAGCTGGGAGGTGTACCGCCCGATCACCTCCGCCGGCTTCTGCAGCTGGTTGAGGCAGACCACCAGGTTGATGAGCGAGGTCGTGTCGTTCGGCGACTGCGACAGCGCCTCCTGCAGCAGCCTCTCGGCCTCGTCAAAGCGGCCCATGTGCATGTTGCACGAGGCCATCGCGTTGAGCAGCATGAGCGACATGTGGTACTTCTCGCCCAGCTCCTGGAACTCGTACAGCGCATCCTGCGCCGTCTCGCCTCCCGACTCGCACAGGCTCGTCCACGCGTGCGAGAGCCTATGGGGAGCTTCCTAGAATGTTCCCTAAAAGGTTCGAGGTCAAGGGGGTCGTACACGTGTGCGAGAGCTTTGTCAGCGTGTCGTCGTCGTACTGCTCCTGCATCGACTTGACCTGCGGGGCGGGGCGGGGCGGGGGGGGGGGTCGGTGGCCCGGCGGGGTCACTGGGCGGAGGGGTAAGGGCGGGTCAAGGACGGGGGAGGGGGTCGAACGGCATGTGGCCTCTTTGGCGCAGGGCGCGGAGGAGGGCGGCGAGGCGGGGCGGGCAGCGCGCGCCAGCTTGCGCGCGAGGTCGGGGCGGTCCATTTGTAGGTAGATCTGGACGACGAGGGCCATCACGTCGATCTGCGTGGACTGGTGTGAAATCTTGAGCGCCTCCTTGTGGTCCCTCTCGTGCAGGAACACCGTCGCCGCCACGAGGATCAACTGCCAGTTGTCCTGCGCGGTCGCGTCCGTCAGCCACTCCTTGAGCTGCGCTACCACCGCCTCCTTGGAGACGCCCGATAGGTACGACGCGAGCATCTTGACCGCCTGCAGCGCGACCGGCGCCTGCGCCCCCACCTCGTCCATCACCACCCGGTGCTGCCCCTGCTCGATGAGCGCGCGGTACATGAAAAAGTCGCGCTCGGTGCTCGCGCCGAGGCTCATCGCCTCGCTGACCGCCTGCTGGTAGTTGCCCAGGTAGAGCGCGTTCCGCAACCCGTACAGGTCGCCCATCGCGGCGGAACTCTTGCGCAAAAAAAATTTCTCCTCACCTGCCTATAAAAATCGTAGATTTGCTCCGGACGAGACTGCCCGTGCCGCGGAGCAGCCGATATGCACACGAAGGCCGAGAAAGGCTAGGAGTACTTAACGAGTTCCGCGACCTACGCAGTCAAACCTGGGGGGAAACTGACCGCATGATGGCGGACTTCCGAAACCTCGGTCCTCGCTGAGCTCCTCTGACCGTTCTCGCTCCCCATCGAGCTCTTCACATTTTTGTGCCCGCTCTTAAGGCACAACAACGGGCACCTCCCTATGTGTCAGAGCGCGCACGAGTGGGTGAGTGTGCGAGCAATATCGAAAGATGGTGGAGGCCAGGATCGCACCACGGAAGCTCAATTTCCTCGCAATATAGAGAGTTGTGTTTGTCCTCAGATTGGACCAACAAAACGACAGTACTACTCTTCAGTGCGCGGGCCCACAATGCGACAAAACCGAAACGGTTGGTCTTCAAAGAAGTCCGTTACGCACAAGCATGCGCGACTTGCACTCTTTCGTGCCGCTCGCTCGCCGGTGCGCGGCGCATGGCCTCCCGCGCGGCTCGCGCTCACTCGGCCTGCCTCCGCCTCACGGCTGGCTGAGCATGCCATGGGTCCGCCTGGTGCGGCGCTGCTCGCTCGCTGCGCTGCACAAAGCTGCGAGAAGCAGGGTGGCCTCCTGAGCTTGAGCATGGCGCAGCGCGGCTGCTGGTGCTCGAGGGCGGCCGTGCAGTGGCGTGAGGGCCTGATTGGTGGTGACCTCGTGCTGCATCAGCGTGCGCAGCATGCTCCCTCACCCGGTGCTGAGACATGCTGGTGGGCGACTGGCGCCAGCTTCTCAGTGCTGTCCCTGGCGTTGTGCAGCATGTCGCAATACTCCTGCTGCGCTGACCGGCGCGCGGGGCGCGTCGTGCCGCGAGAGGAGCGAGAGGCTCGAGGCGCGCGGCTGTCGGTCAACCCTGCGGCGCATGCGCGCCGCCAAGGCTGCTCGACAGGCGACTGGCATTGTGGCGACGCGGTCGCCGTTACTCCAACTTTGCTTTGCCGATCAAAAGCGCCGGTCCTTTCCTTTTTAGCCGCCGAAATTTAGCTTGCTGTTTTTTTTTCTTTATAGGCGTCTGCAACTTCCAAGCTGCGTATTCTTGTATTATCGTCGAGTAGTACAGGTACTTCGTGGGGGCAGGGTGTATTCTCGTAACATGTGCGTATTCTCGTATCACTGGCTCCGAGTAGAAAAAAGAAAGAAAATAGCTCCGAGTAGAGGGGGCGTTCTGCTGCTAGGGGAAACCTGGAGCGCGGAGCTAACCCTCGGAGACCCGTGTTTACTTTAAGGCCCTTGCCCTGCGAATGCGCACCCCCCCTAGCTAGGGGTCAGGGCTCTCTAGCCCGTAGCCCGATCCCGATCATCCGGCCCGCTGGGTGCGCTTCTGAGCTCCCCGGCCCTGGATGTGAGGCTGCCGACTGCACTCCAAGTGCTCCAAGTGCTCCAAAGAGCACAAAACCGAAGAGAATCTCTCTCAAAACCGAAACATTGGCCTGTATATACTTTTCCGGCAAACAAAAAGGAAAACAGAGGGCCCCCAGCACTTTGCGTTTCCGGGAATTTCCAGGGAAAACAGAGGGTGTTTGGTGCTCCATTCTGGAAACTCGCGAGTTTCCCTGAGTCTGAGAGCTGGTCTGGGGCAAAATCTGAGGCAAAATCGAGGAAACCGGCAACATCCCGGGCTTTTTCCAGGTATACCCGGGTTTTTCCGCAGGTATACCCGCAAAATACCCGGCATTTTGCCGATTTGGCTGATTTTGGGCCCAAACGAAACGGCAAACCAGCCTCAGACTCGGCTCAGAGCCCGGAAAATTTGATGGTTTCCCCGGGAAAATAGAGAGGGAAAGAGAGGGTGCTGTAGAGAAAAAACGAAAGGAAAAGAGACGGGGTGCGAGACCGAGAGGAAAAGTATATACAGCCTAACCGCCGAAACACGACGAAAACGGGCGCGGGGCGCCCCGGGCGGGAGCGGCTGCTACATATAATATAGTCGCCGACCACACCCACACAGAAGCCTGCACAAAGACCGCAGGGCGGGGACTTGCTCCTTTTTACCCATCTCCCAGTAGAGCGAGGTGTGGTCCGTGTTATTTATTTATTTAGGCTATACCTGAAGTATAGTAGTGTGTAGGGATGTGCGATGGCATATCGTACCCTTCGCACAGATCACAGCCGTGCGCTATCGCTTCCCGTACAGCTTGATGTCCATCACGAGGTCGGGCTGGTATGGCCGGTTCGCGTTGCAGTAGATGTTTTTGAAGCGCTGGAACGCGCCCTCACCCATGTCGCCCGGCCGCACCTCCCGCGGAGGGATGGGCCCAAAGCCGCCGCCGCACTCTTGGTACTGCAGCCCCGGCAGCGGGCGAGCGAGTCCCTCGTACGCGAGAGAGGAGGGGATGATGGCGCGCCGGACGCCGCCTGGCAACATCGGCGGCACGCCGCCGCCGCCCGCGACCGCCTGCTCGAGGCCCGGGATGGTCGAGCCGTCGCCAAGCGCCCACGCATACGGCTGCTGCCTCTCGGCTGTCGAATCGATCTTGGCGCCGTACCTCGCACCCGTCGTAGACATGACGTAATCGATCACGACGCGGCACGGCGCCTGCGGCGCCGTGCCGCTGCCGACCTTTGCGTCCGCCCACTGCAGACCATTCGACGACGTGGAGAACTCGAGCGCCGGCGTTGCCGCCACCGCCGCTGGAGTTGGCCGCATCGCAGGGCGGGCCGCGAGAGATGCCGCGAGCAGAAGCCGGCGGCCGAAGACCGACGCGGCGTGCATGTGAGATCAGTGAAGCCAGTCCAGTCGCACCTCCGGAAGTCCTCTAACATCACAACATGGAATTCCTACAGACACTAATGCTTTGGTCTTCACAACGCGCCTTGGTCCTCGGCTCCTCGCTCTGGTAAGGCTCACCAGAGCGACAGGGAATTCGACAGGAGGGCTAAAATCCGGAATATAGAGTAATAAGAGTCGACAAGAGGGTGCTCTCTCTATCTAGGCCGCGAAGACACCACACACGGTCTCCCTACTCATGCGCGGCTACTCGCTTAGTTGGTGTGGGTAAACGAAAGTACCGACCGTACTATCAGAGAAAAAGCCGGAAAAGACGCCGGCGGCAGTCCACGACGAGCCAGCCAGCTGCCGGCTCGCACGGCAGCCTCTTCCTCTCGACCAGCCTCGGTCCGAAAAGCGGAAAAGCGGATCGCGCAGTCCGTTGTGGCTCGAAACGCGATGCCTCCGCTGGGAGACACGGATGGCGCCGGCAGGAGACCTACCTATCCCCAGGGCCGCAGGGAACAGGGGAAAATGTATTTCAGACTCTTTATGCCTGTAGTGCCAGTGGCAGTGCGCGCCAGTTACAACCCAAGGGAGGGAGGGCAGGGAGCTTTGTGGTGCAGTGGGTTGCGGGCATTAAGAAAACAGGAGTCGGCGGCGCTTCGCGAACTGGCACAGAAGGTTCGAGACGGCACGGATCTTGTGCTCCTATGCGCGGGAAGGGTTGAGTCCTGTCACGGCGATCTGCTGAAGAAGGGGATCCTGGCCGAAGCGGCGCAGCTCGAGGCCACCTCCAGCAAGAGGAAGCCGCGCTCTGATAAGGGCAAGCCGAGGGGTCCTCGGGGGCCCAGGGCTAACTCGGTGGAAACGGCGGCCCGCATGGGGTGCTGGCGACCTTCTACCTCCGGCACGCCTATGGACGGGACAGCCCGGGGCTGCATGAAGAGGACGGGGTGCTCTCCGCGAATGGGGGGGTGCTGTGTGCGGGGTGCGGAGAGGAGGCGCCCGGGCTCGGGGCGCGGGACGGGGAGGGGGATGGCGGAGAGGGGGGGGGGCGTGGGCGAGGAGGGGGAGGGGGGCGGTGGGGAGCGGGGGAGGAAGAGGGGGTGGGATCCGACAGAGGAGGAGGCGGTGGGGGTGGAGGGTGGGGAGGAGGGGGGCGTGGTTGGGGAGATGGGGGATCGGGGGGGGGCGGCCGGCGGTGCCTCCGCGGGGGGAAGAAGCGGGGTGTGCACAGCAAAGGGGGGCGGCGATTCAAAACGCTGAAGGGAAGGGAGGGCTGAGTGAGTCTGGCAACGCACACGTGTCGTAACGTCCACAAGTTGCTATGAAAATTCTACCGCCCGGCCAAGACCGCCCGCCCCCCTCCCCCCCCCCCTTTCCTCTCTGCCTCCTCCTCCACACAACGGAAGCACACACAGCACCACACGACCCCCGATGCTCTGATACAGGTGAAAGGCGGCGCTGTCTCTCAAGATGGAAGCAGGAAGCTTCCATCCCGGCGGTGGTTCGAATCCACATGAGCCGAAGGTGAGGGGGAAGGTTTGCCTGAGATCTGAAGCTCACCCATTGAGGAAGTGAGGAGTTGCTCGGCTCACCCCGATCATGCCGAACAAGCTCCTCTTGTAGCTCGATCGGTCACACCGCCATCGCCGTCGGGGAGAGGGGGGACGACACTGCTTCGGCAAGCGTGCACCTCGATCCTGTACCGTGTTTGTTATGACGCCCCCCCAATGAACACATCAGTGAGGGAGGGCGAGACGATCGAGGGGTCCCGTACCATGCGGAATCGACCCTATCCAGTGCTCAAGTGCTCAAACAGGATTCCGCGGCACGCCGCCGTTTCTAGGCCTTTCCACAGCCCTCATCCACCCGACGCCGTGGTTTCTTAGCTCCGGCCGGCACTCAAGCCAGAGCCGGCCCGATCGAAGGATTTTAGGCTCAAGGTACGAGATGCGGTCCGCGAGGCCGAGGCGCGAGGGCGGTGCCAGAGTCTGCCGCCGAGTTTGCTCTCTGGATGACGGGAAGACGCACACACACGCCTCCATCCACTCCACTCAGTTCAGTCTTCAGACTCAGAACACCGCAAGACTACTTGCAACTTGGAAAGAAAGTGACAAGTGCGCGCGCCGCAGGCGAAGAGAAAGTTTGAGCTGGGGCTCCCGTTCACACTCGTGTCTGGACTTTTCTCGGGGCCGCGCCTGCGCCGCGCCGTGGTTTCTTACTTAGATTTTTGCGGAAATCGATAGGTGTGGTTTCTTTCCACGTTTTTTCTGAATGCGTGCGAGGGAAAAATTCTGAATCAAAGCAAATAAAATTCTTTAAATGAGTGCGCGCTGCCCGTGCCGTGTCGTGCGAGGTAGTCTTTAAATTCTTTCAAGCAGAGTTGGCCCATTTAGTTCGAGTTGCCGGGATGGCGGCAAGTGCGAGCGACCAGTCTGCCGCCGCGGTTTGCGATGCGGACGGCGTCTGCTGCATCGTGCCGCAGGCAACAGATTTGGAGCAGCCGTCGAAGCCAGCGGGAGCTGTCTTGCCGTTGCTTTTCGGCGACGATTATTCGACGACGATCCTCAAGGACGACGCTGGGGTCCAGCAAAGCGCCGGAGCGCTCGGTGGCAAGATCGTTGGCCTGTACTTCTCCGCAAGCTGGTGCCCCCCATGCCGCAAGTTCTCGCCGGAGCTTTCCAAGCTTCGCGCGGCGCACAGCGCCGATTTTGCCGTGGTCTTTGTCAGCTGCGACCGAAGCGAGGCCGAGATGAAGAGCTTTATCGGTCTCGCCGTGTGTTTGTCAAGCTTCCGCATGAAGTAACGCGCCTCTTCCTTATTTCCAGCGCAGCTGCCACTCAGCACGTGCGCCAACGACGCCTGTGGCGGCTCTTGCATATCCCGGGAGCGGCTGTGACGAGAAATCCGAAAGGCTGCGTGAAGTCTTGGAAGGCAGGCGGGAATGGCTGCTCCTGGGTGCAGCTTTTGACGGGTGGTGGCTGCTCCGTGCAGTAGGCGGAGACAGCACCAAAAACTGGGATCATCGGAGGATTTCACTGAGCATCGGATTTCACTGAGCCGCCGTAGCTAAACCCGATCCCTCGCCGTGCACACGCCACAAGGACCTCTTGCGCGAGCGGGGCGCAGAGGTGGCCACACCTGGGACCTGGGGGTGCGGCTTGGAAGTGTGGCGTGTGTGGATTTACAGTATTCGATTACCGATGTAGCGAACCGCGCAGAGTTTCTATCGTTAGTCTATCCGCCACTCCGCCTGTCGCTGTCCGCCACTGACAGTGGCGCACTGTGGGGTTCGCGTGTCGGTGTCTGCGAACACTTCACACCCTCCACCCCCCTGAGGACCGTCCCCCTCCCACGCATGCGGCTCGCGGCGCCGTATATCACGCCGGCACCCTCCCGAGCACGACGTCGTCCTCTGCAAAGTCGAGCTCCTTGTCGAGCCCGCCCTTGGCCACGTACTGCTCGCTGTAATACCTACGCGCGGCGCATCTCGGACAAGTCCTGCGCGTGACCTTTGGGGTGCCCCTGGCCGTGTTCCGGCCGAGCACCACGAGATGTCGTCGGCGATGCTATGCGCGGGCGAGAAGCCGAGCAGCCGGCTCGCCTTGTAAGGTCAGGTACGGTCAGGTAAGCTTCTCCACACACACAAGGTGGTGGGGCAAGGGCCAGGCAGCCCTCGCGACTCCACGTCTAGACGACAGGAACCCCGCGGCATTAAAAGTGCAAGGCCCAGTGCGCGTTGGTGAGCCTTGTCCGCCGAGACGTAGAAGGGTGTGTCGCGGAACGGAAACTTGTACTTGAACCCGTCGGGCTTGTCGAAGCCCGCGGGGTCGTAGTGTGCGATCTCACATTCCTTGCCCGCCGCGCCCGCGCAGAGCCGGACGAGGTCGTCGTACCTACTCACTCGCGGCTCGGCCTGTGAAGAGACGCCGTCCTCGCTGTGAAGAGCCGGACGAGCGAGTCGCACGTCACGAGGGAGGGCGTCGCGCAGTTGAACGCCTCGCCGACGGCCGCCTTGGCGTGGAGCAGCAGCGGAGACGGTCGTGACAACCTCGGGACAACCTCGGGACAGCCTCGGGCAGCCTCGGGCAGCCTCGGGCAGCCTCGGGCAGCCTCGGCCAACCTCGGCCCATTTCGGCCAATCTCGGCCAATCCCAATCTCGGCCAATCTCGGCCAATCTCGCCGACGGCCACCACCTCGTTCCCGACGGCGGCAGCGACCATGGCGGCGTTGTCGGCGGCGTGCGTCATGGTCACAAGCTGGTCGCCGCCATTCGGCACCGGCACCTGCACGGACGTATCTCGAGTCGAAGCACGGCCTCGGCCAGACCTCCGGCTAGATCTCGAGCACCGGCCGTCCGCGGGTGATCCGGTCAAAGAAGAAGGCCAGGTAGCTCTTGCCCTGCGCGGGGCCGTAGATATACTGCGGCCTGTTCACACGCTGAGCTGTGAAGAGACGCTGTTCACAGCTTGCCGCGCGCCTCCCTGAGGTTGCGGCCGGAAGTAGGAGAAGGGGAGGCCCATCTCTGCGATCTTCTCCTCGGCCTGCCGCTGGCCCGAGCTCTTGACCGCGCACTCCTCGCCCACCGCCCCATAGTCGCCTATTCACGCCGTGAGCCGTGAAGCCGCACACGCCGTGGCCCACACCTCCGGCTTGCGCGTGGAGATGTGCCCTTGTCGGGCGTGTACATGCCCGCAGACGACACGTAGGCGTAGTTGCTCACACCCCAGGCCTTGGCCGCTGTTGCGTACGGGGCGATCGCCTCGGGCGACTTGGACCAATTGTCGACCACCGCGCTGAACGACGCGCCTTCCAGCTTGGCGAGGCACGCTGCCGCCTCAGAGAGATCGCCGCCCCATATCACCTTGACGTCCGACGGCAGCTCTCCGTAGGCACGGTGCGCCTCCTTTGGGTTCGGGCCGTCGCCCTCGTGGAGAATTGTGACGGCATCGCCGCGAGAGACGAGGTGCTGAGCGAGGTGGAACCCGATCTCGCCGTGGCCGCCGCCCTTGTTTTGGATGACCAGCACGTCCGCCATGGTGACGGGAGCGACGCGCAGAGCGCCACGCGGCGTCGCCACAACGTGGAAGGAGTTCGCGAAGCCAGGGAAGAGAAGCATATCGCGGTTGGGAGCTGCCTGCCTGGCCTGGACCTGGCGAGGTACTCCCACGCCTCTCGGGGTTTTAGTCTGGCCGAGCGAGACTGCGTCAGCTGTTTTCACAGCCTTGTTATTGAGAAGAAAATACCTGCTATGGCGCAGGATCACAGCCTTGTTATTGAGAAGAAAATACGAGCCCTGGAGGCCCTGGGGATGGGGTGAGACTACCCGCGGGCCTAGAAGGCCCGCGCGCAGGGGGGTGGCGGGGTGGGACATTGACAGTCAGCAGGCTGGAAGTACCTCGCCAGGCCTGGACCAAAATCGATTCCGGGGGAGAGTGAGAAAGGAATCCTGCGCAAAAAAGAATTTTACAGCCCGTGCAAAAAAGATTTTTTCTTGAGCTAGCCCACAAGCCGCAACCCGGCGCGGCGCGCAAAAGCGTCGATGGCGAGGCGCAGCGACGTCGCATTGGTCGCCTCGCCAAAGGTGACCTGTTCAACGATGCTTCGAAAATCCGTCCCGAGTTTCGACTCGGGGTGCGCAATCGTGGGTGCGGTGCCTCAGTGCGCGGCATGGAGCCGAGCGCGCGCCGCACGAGCGAGAACCAGGCGGCATGCGCCGCGGCGAATCCGGCGGAAGGGACTGCGGAGCATTTCGAGTGGAAGTCGCGGTAGGCTCGCACGGAGCCGAACCCCCTCGCTGTTCGCACCGATGGGCTGAAGCTGTAGTCGTCAGTGAGCAGCGAATAGTTGAGCGAGCACTCCTATTATCGCACATCGGTGTGAAGAGACTCTGCTCACGCCGGGAGTCCTTGCGGAGGAGTCGCGCGAGCGCTCCTCCTCGGCCATCTCGCGCTCGAGGACGACCGTCGAGACGCGACGGTGGCGAAACAGGGTGCTCAGCCCGGCCAGCTTCGCCTGGGGCGGCCCGCGCACCTGGGGGCGCGTGTGGGCCTGTGAAGAGGTGGGGCGTCGGCGAAGTGCCTTGGGGGTGGCTGGGGGCGTCTGCGCACGTGATTGTCGAAGAGCTTGAGGATTAGCACGCACGGGTCAGCGGGCCGACAACCAGGCCTCTTCCGCCGCACTCGGCAGACGCTGCCGCCGAGCCGCTCCAGCAATGGGATCCACTCCTACAGCCGAGGTGTAGCCGAGGTGTAGCCGAATTATGGTCGAGATCTAGCCGATATGTGGCCAATGCGCTCCTGCCGGTGGAGCGCCCGGGTCAAAACCTCGATGGTCAGGCTTGGGTCCGGCGCGCCTGTGGGACGTGTCGCGGACGATGATTGGCTTGTCGGACGAAGAGGAACCGACGGCGAGAGGCAAAGCCGAGGTTGAAGCTCTGGCAGCGGGTAAGGTTGGGGTCGGCCTTGCAGCGGCTGCCGCTGCCGTGGATGCGCGGCCAGTCGAACGCCTGCTGCAGCTCGCCGGCAGAGGCGGCGCAGCGCAGCCTGGCCTCTAGTTGGAGGGATAGGGACGTGGAAGAGGAGCGCCTGCAGCATGAGGCAAGATGGTTTGCATCTCTTGCGTCCTACGGCAAGCGGAATAGGAACGACCTGCGCGACGCGATGATGATGACTCGCGTCCCTCGCAACGCGCTGTCATCTTCGGGCCTGCCAGGCTGCGCCGCGCGCGAGGGCCCTGTCGCCAACGCGCTCGTCATGTTCGGCTCGTCATGTTCGGCTCTCAGCAACCGTGCGTCCCCAAACATCAAACGGAGGGAGGAAACAAAAAACAAGAATTTTAAAATTGCTCTGGACTCTGGCCTTTTCTGGGTCACGTAGCCACACCTCCACCAGGCCTCTCAGTCAGTTCACGCCGGAATCGTGAACCGTGAACCGTGAACCAACTAGCCCCCGCCGCCCCGAGTCCGTGAACCCCACGAAAAAGATCGAAAATAGTGCCCAAGGTAAGCCGGGGGAACTCGCGTCCCGGAACGCCTGCCCTACCTCGAAACACGGCGGTATCATCAGACATACAGCAGCACAGGCAGGAGGCTTGGCCTGTACAAGCTTTTCCGGCAAACAAAAAGGAAAACAGAGACTCCAAGTGCTCCAGAGGTTCCCCAGCACTTGCGTTTCCGGAAATTTCGAGGGAAAACAGAGGGTGTTTTGGTGCTCCATTCTGGAAACTCGCGAGTTTCCCTGAGTCTGAGAGCTGGTCCCAATGGGGCAAAATCTGCGGCAAAATTGAGGAAATCGAATTTCCCGGGTTTTCTCCGCAAAATTCCCGGTATTTTGCCGATTTTGCTGATTTTGGCCCCAAAACAGCCTCAGGGGACTCGGCTCAGAGCCCCCAAAATTGACGATTTCCACGGAGTTTTCCCAGGAAAATAGAGAGGAAAAGAGAGGGTGCTGTAGAGAAAAAAGGAAAGGAAAAAGAGACGGGGTGCGAGAGGAAAAGCTTGTACAGCCTAAAGGGCATCCTATATTCTTCTCTCACTCCTCTGTCCGTGCCTTGGTCTTGTCGTTGTTTCGCACCCATGTCTGTATGGCAATCGAACCTGCCGTCCCCACTACCTGTAGTTCACTTAAGGGCGTGACGCCCTTAGTTCACTCGTCACCCCTCCGGCGAACTCCTCTTTTCTTTCGGGAAAGCGGCTCCCGTGGTGTACCTACCTGTGTGTTAGTGCCAGTGCGCGCCAGTCCCGTGCCCAGTGCTCGTGCGAGAGGAGTTGGTTCTAAAATTCTTTCTGTCTGTCCGGAAGGGAGTCTCTCTCTGCTGGTGTCTGTCTGTCAGTGCGGGCAGCGAGCGTGCAGCTGCAGGCAATCGCGGGCGCTATTTTGTCGTACTCGTCTTCGGCGAGCGCTCCAAATCTAGACCCCATTGCCTTCAAGGAGGCTGCTCTCGCGCGTCTCAGGAATGTAGCCGTGTCTTTTGATTCAAACAACTCTCTCTTGATTCAGGGTGCCAGGGCGCGTAAAATCATTTACCTCATTACCTCATCTTCAAGCCGCTGTCCCGCCCGCCCGCTGTGCTCTCCACGGGATTCAGCAGGGCCTATTTGACATTTCAATGAGCAGCGATTCGTCTACGCCCGCGGCGACTCTCGTCCTCATTGCATCCACCGGTGTCGTCGCCTTCGCATTCGGCCGCTGGACCGCGCCAGCGACTCACGCGCCATCCATCCCAAGGGTGCCAAGGGCGGCAACGGAAGGAGGCGGGCATCGGCTCAACAGCCGATGCGTCAACCACTCTCACACTCCTTCTCTGGTCCACAACCTCTCCAAGCTCGAGCGGGTGTGTACCCTCTCAAGGCTGCCCGACACACTCCGGAGCCGCACCCACCTCTTTGCCATGGTAGCGCCCAACGATCTGCTCGGGCACTGGCTCGCGCACTACGCGGCGCTGGGCATCGACTTTCGGCAGCGGTCGCGCGTGATCCTGCACACGGGCGGAGTGGGCGCCGAGCAGGCCCGAGCCGCGAGGCAGCTCCTCAGTGAGTACGGCGTGCCGGCAGACCTCGCCGTGAACTGGTCGTCTGCGCTGAAGATGCGGGCGGCCGAGGCGTATCTGCGCTCGCTCCCTCCGTCCGGCTACCTGGTGTGGGCCGACTCGGACGAGTTCATGCGCTACCCGTGCGCTCTCGCCGAGGCCAGCCGCAGCGACAAGGTCGCGGTGTTAAGCTCGATGGTCGAGCGCGTCTCGCTGCCGTGGCGGCTGCGCCCGCCCACGCCCGGACAGCGGCTGAATGCGAGCTACCCGCGGCGCTGCCTCGTAACCGCGTGCCTCATCTCGGAGGCGGGCGTGGGCGTTGCGACCAAGAAGCCCGCGCTGATACCGGCCACGAGCCAGACGCGACTGGCGAGAGCGCCTTCCCCTCACTCTGTGACCAACAGCGAGCAATCCGTGTCTAGGTGACGGACCGGCTGGGAAGGCGGATGCGCCCCACAAGCTCACACCACCTCGCGTGCGTCGACGACGCGACGGGAGAGCTGAAGCACTGCAAGATGGACCTAAAGCTGAAGGCGGTCTTTGACCACTTCCGCTTCACCGGCAGCACGATGCGGCTCCTCTCGGAGAAGACGCGCCAAAAGTTCCACGCCGTTCGCAAGTACGAGGCCGAGGCCCTGATGTTTGCTCGCGACCGCTCCGGCGGGTGGTCGTTCTCCAACGAGAGCATTCGCGCTCTGAGCAGGGTCTGCTGGACGTAAGAGGTTTTTTGTCTTTTCAGGGGGTCCTGCCGGCTCGGGCTGAGGTCAGGGTGACCCACTGCCGGGTGGAAATGTCGGAATAGCCTTCCCGTGGAAGCCAGAAAACGGCTCGCACACCATGTCAAAGCTCTCGCCAAGCTCTCTCGAATCTCAGTTTTTGCCTTGCGTGAAGAGCAACTTAAGAACTTTTGTCTTCGGTCGGCACATCTAAAGAGCAAAGCACGCGGCCCTGGCTAGCTGTGGTGTGGCTGGGAAGCCGTGCTAAAGTTGCGTGCCCGCACTAAAGATGCGGGACCCACACTAAATGTACTGCAGCTGCCCGCACCTAAATAAAGTGAACTAACTAAATGTGGCGCTAAATTGGAGATAAACAAATCAGAGATAAAACACACTAAATATGTGCTAAATATGTGCTAAATTTGCGCTAAATTTGCGCTAAAGTCGCACTATATACGCACTCGAACACCGCACTAACTATCACTAAAGTTCATTCACACCAGTTCACACGCACTAAATTTAGACCCAGGCGCCCTGTGCTGGCAGCGGCCGGCGGCCCGGTTCGCCAGAAACGCACAGCTTGCACATGGCAGAAGCACACCTACCGCCCGTGACCAACCTACCTCCCATCCGCTACCCTCCCGACGCGTCCACGGTGCCATGGCTCGAGCAGGGCACGGAAGAGATGGCGGAGGACCGCCTCGTCGACGCCGCCGGGTGTGCAGTCATGATGCGATGGGAGACTCCGCTCATGGAGGCCCACGCGGACTTCGTGTGCGCCGAGTCACGTGGGAAGGTCCTGAACGTCGGCCATGGCATGGGCATCGTTGACGCCGCCATCTCCCGACACAGCCCGCGGCTGCACGTCATCTGTGAGGCTCACCCATCCGTTCAGCGGAGAGCGGCGATGTTTGCCACGCGCTGCAAGGGCGGCGGCGGCGTGGGCGGCGGCGGCGAGGGCGGCGGCGGCCGCGCTAGCAGCAGCGAGCAGAGGTGCGTTGTCGTGCGAGGGCGGTGGCAGTCCGCCGACGTGCAGGCGGAGCTCGAGTCGCTCGGTCCCTTCGACGGGGTGTTTTTCGACACGTACGAAGAGACGGTCGAGGACTTTCTCGCCCTGCTGCTGCGGCTGCTGCGACCGGGGGGGCGCTTCTCATTTTGCAACATGTACCAGCCGCACGACGCGGTGAGGCACGTGGCGTACAGTGCCTACCTGCAGGCGCGGCTCGCGCCGCTCGGCCTCAGCTGCTGCTTCGAGCGCCTCGAGCTTCGCGTCCCGCCCGAGACGTGGCGCGGGCTCCGACTCAACTACTGGCCGCACGCCAGCTACCTCCTCCCCCGCTGCCGCCGCTCCGACCCGGCGGCGACGCCGCCACGCCCGCTAAAGCGGCGCGGCTCTGCGGCGGCGGACGGCCCGCTGCCGCCGACCCTGGAGCCGCTCGACGGCTTGCTGTGGTCCGCAAAGCATTGGGCGTGCCGCAGTGCCACACGCGACTCGTGCGCCGGCCGAACGGGCGCCGCGCCGACGCTCGCCCTCGCTTGGGAGAGGTGTGAGGCGTTGTTTTGGGGCGATGGCTGAGGTCCGCCGTGGCCCCGTACACTTCGCCGTGCAACCACGTGTGCAAGGAAACTCCGCCCCCGCCCGTCACGACTGTCGACTCACGTAATAACTAACGTATCGTACTTTGAATTTTCTCTACCGTCCTCATTGCTCTTTGTGACGAGATCGATGGCGGTTTGTAATATGTAAAGCCGCTCTACCCGCGCCCCTCTTCGTCCCCGCCGTCCAGCAGCGAGCGTTGGCGGCCGCTAGCGCGGCCAGGGGGCAGCGCTCGCCGCCGCTCGGGCAAGCCGAGCCGGCGGCGGTGCTGCGCCCGCCCCGCCCGCGTGAGAGTCCATGCGGCCTTGGTGGCGGGCGAGACCGCCTCCTCCGGCCGGACGAAGCCGCCGCGCCGCGCCGAGTAGCTCAGCGCGGGCAAACGCGGCAGCGCGACGTGCGGCGTGAACTTGCGCGCGGCGATGGTCGCCGGCAGCGCCCGCTGCTCGTCGGACGGCGGCAGCCCCGCCTCCTCCATCATGCGCAGCACGGAGGCGGCACCCGGCTCGCCGGCGCGGTGTATCTTGTCGCAGAGCTGCAGCGCAAAGGCGTGCGCGCGGCCCGTGTGCGGCAGAGCGTACTCGCCGTGCAGAGACCCTAGGAGGGGCCCAGGAGGGGTCCAGGAGGCGTCCGGGCAGGCCACCTTCCCGGAGGAGCCCACACACTCGCCGCTGCAGCGAGCCGAGCAGCTGCAGCGTGGTGTGCAGAGGGGGGAGGGGGGGGAGGGGGGGGGAGGGAGAGAGGATGGGGAGGGGAGGGGGGAGGGGAGGGGGGAGGAGAGGGGGGAGGGGAGTGTGCGTGCGTCGCAGCGTGCGGGTGCGTCCGTGTCTAGGAATTGTCTAGGAGTGGTCCACCGAGCAGCCGAAGTGTCGTGTGCAGCCGCAGGCCGGCGGCGTGCACGCCGATGACGAGGTCGAGCGCGTGCGCGTCGACCTCAAGCCCGGCCGCCTATCGCCACCCACTGTGTCACCCGTCGCGACTCGGTCTGTGTGGCGGCGGCGCCGCGCGCCGCTGCCTCCATCGACGGCGGCACAGACAACGCGAGGGCGGTGTGCTCGGTCTGCAGCGAGGCTGGCTGCAGCCGCTGCGCCCTCATGCAGCTCACGAGCAGCTGGTGGAAGTGGGCGGGCGCCTAAGCGGGGTCAGCCAGCCGACTTGCTCATCTTCACTAGCCAAACGAGGAGCGGCTGGTGGAAGTGGGCGGGCGCCGCGTCGACGCCGGCGTCGAGCATGCGGGTGAGAGTCCGCTGCGCGCCTCGCGCGTCGCCACACCTGCGCCGCCGCCGCCGGTTGCCGAAGGGGTGGCGTCCTCGAGCAGCCGTGGGCCGTCTCTGAGCCAGGCAAGCTGCACCGTGTTGCAGCGCATCTGTGTGTGCGTGTGTCTGTTGTGTGTGTGTGTGTGTGTGTGTGTGTGTGTGTGTGTGTGTGTGTGTGTGTGTGTGTGTGTGTGTGTGTGTGTGTGTGTGTGTGTGTGTGTGTGTGCGTGTCTGTCTCTCTGTGAGACATGCTGCGCGTCTCCGTGTCTCCTCTCTGTGGGGCGCACCCGGCATGCGCCCGCAGCAGCGCGGTGTAGGTGTGGCGGTCGGGCGCGAGGCCGTCGTCGGCCAGCCGAGACACGTGCCGGTGCGCTCTCTCGAGGGGCGCGCGCGGGTCCGTGTCCACCTGATGCAGACACCTCGGCCTCTCGGGGCGGCGTAGGACGGCTCTTGGCGGCGCGTGCGCTTTCCGCGCCCACCGACAGCTTGTGCAGCCACTCGCGCTTGCGGCGCGGCAGCCTGCGGGAGGGTGTGGGGGGCGCTGGGGGCGTGGGCTTGGAGAGAGGGGAGGCGAGAGAGCGGGCGGGGAGGCGAGAGAGGAGAGGCGAGGCGAGCGACGGCGAGGGGGAGGACGAGGAGGGGGGGGGGGGCGAATCTTGACGAATCTCGACGAATCTCGACGAGTCTCGACATCTCGGCGAAGGCTCGCCTCGCGAGGGAACGCGCGCGCGAGGCGCAAGCGGAGATGTACGCGTTGTGCGCGGCGAGGGTCGGCGCGACGCCCGACATGAGCATGTCGTTCCACAGCCCGTCCGCCTGCGGAGGGAGAGAGAGCTCACGAGCGCGTCTGCAGTGGGGTGGAGGGGTAGGTCTATGCGGTGGGGTAGAGGGGTAGGTCTATGCGGAGGGGTAGTCTATGACTGACGGCGGTAGCAAATGCCTGCTCGAGCTGGTCAGCCAGGGCGCACGCGTGCATCATCAGCGCGAACGTCACCGCGTCCGGCAGCCTGCCTGAGACTCACCAACGAGCGGCGCTGTCGGTTGTGCCAGTGTGCCAGACTTAAGCGATCTGACCACGTCCGGCGGCCTTTGAGTCGCATCTCGTCGAAGGCGTGCCACGCCTCCTGCAGCCGGCCGTGCCTCACGTACGCCTGCACCACCGCCGTGTTCGCCGGCACGTCCACCACCGCTCCGCCGTCCTGCTCACAGCTGGCGCGCGTGAAGAGACGCTGCTCACACTCACGGCCGGCGCGTCGACGGCGGCACAGCCTCCATCTCGCGCAGGACCGCCGTGACAGCCTCGGGCGGGTCGCCGGCGGCCACGTGCGCCTGCATCAGCCCCGTCCACACCGGCGCGTTGGGCGCCACCCCCGCCCGCCTCATCTCGGCCAGCACTGCGCGCGCCGCGGCGGCATCGCCGCCCTTGGCGCAAGCGTCCACCAGCGCGGCGTAGGCGGCGGCGTCGGGCCGCAGGCCGGCCGCCTGCATCTCATCGAAGGCAGCGTGCGCGCCAGGCAGGTCGCCCTGCACTCCGAGGCAGCGCACGCGGTAGGCGCAAGCCTCGAGCGAGCGCGAGCGCCGCCGCCAGAAGCCATCGGCCGACGCGTCCTCCACCGCCATGCGTGAGAGGCGGTCCTCGCGTGACGGGGGCTGTGGGAGCGGCTGCGTGAGCGCGTCGTACAGCCGTGACAGGTCCTCCGCCTCCACCTGCGGCAGCGTCACGTTCTGCTCACCCGCCGGCGCAAGCGCACGAGTCGTGGCCTCGAGCAGGCGCGCGTGCTCCGCCGCGTCCCATCCAGCGGTCTCGACGGCACGCTGGCCCGCCGACGTGGATGGCTGCAGCGCGTGTGATCGCCTCGCGGCGGAGCTCAACAGCCGGCGGCGCACACAGCACCGAAGGACGTGCCGCATGCTCTAGAGGGTTCTTGCACAGCGCAGTGAGGGTTTTTTGCCAGAGCGCTCACACACAGCTGCTGCAGAGCAGTGGTTGACACCGATACTGTCCAGGCCTAAAGTCTGTGCAGGTTGTCGGGGACACGAAGTCGGAAGAGAAATTCGTGGTTTTTGGTTTTCTAAAATCTCTCTCTCTCCGAAGCCGGCGTGAACACTTGTGACTTGAGCAAAAGACTGGAGAGGGTCGATTCCGCATGGTACGGGACCCCTCGATCGTCTCGCCCTCCCTCACTGGTGTGTTCATGGGGGGGGGTCATAACAAACACGGCGACAGGATCGAGGTGGCGTGAACACAACTAACTGACGGATCCGCTCCTGCCTGACAGTGGCACGCGCCGCGGCCGCGGCGCGTGCCACTGTCTTTGTTTGTTTGAAGCTAAAAGTCGAATCAGAGCGGTGTCGGCGTTGTCCCCCGATTTCCTCCCACGGACCGCCCGTCTGGCACCGGCCGCTCCGGGACGCACGCCGGCGAAGCACCATCGAGCTGCTCCGTACGCGGCCCCGGCATCGCCTCCCCTGGCTTAGCTAGAATGAGAGATATTGTGCACATGGTCAGTCTCTACAATATACTCACTGACATTTTACCTCCCAGAGCTCGTCCCGGTCCGCCACGGCCATCCTCGGCCTCCGGAGGGCCCCCGCTGGGCCCCCGGCCGCGGGCGCGGCGCGGTGGGGCGGCGGCGTCACAAATCCGACCACAGAGCACCGGGACGCGGTCGGGCGATTCGAGGCCCACTAGGCGTATGCATTGCCTATTCAGGGCTATCACCTGGACCTATCAACAGGCGCCTGCGGCGCCGTGGCCAGGAGCTGCTGTTCACACCTGCACAAACTTTCATAGTGGGCAGTATCGTTCAAAGGAACGCTGGTCAAAATCTTGACGCTGTTCACGCTTCACAGGTAAGTATAAGCGGAGCAGCTGAGTAGATACAGCTAATCCTTTGTGTGTTCACACCTGCAAGAGGTGTGAACAATAACGATTTCGGCCTTAGCCGTCGGTATGCCAATAGCGTTCTAGCCAAGTAGTACGCAGTTGGTTGGATTCCGAGGGTGTCCCATCACAAGTTCGGCTGTCGACAGACAAGAGTGTCCCTTTATAGTGCTTAGTCGACAGCACCCGCCTTGGCCTCCCTACCGTTAAGAAGCCTTTTACTTACTTACCCCTCTTTCGTTCGCCCGCCACGGTCGGTGAGCTTGCTTGCGCCTTGTTTGTTGCCGATGGCAGCCCATGTGGCGGACGGCATGCACTGGGGTGTTCATGGGGTCCCGTGCCATGCGGAATCGACCCTATCCCAGTGCTCAGTGCTGAGAAAATCAAAGAATTTCACAATCGAAGAATTCAAGGGGTTGGGGGGGGGGGGGGGGGCGCATATGTGTTGGAGACGGCACGCGCGTCCACCCACTGCGATGATCGGCCCTCCTCGGGCACCACGCGTCGTAGCGGCCGTGAGATGGCTCATCATCCCAGCCGCCATTGCCGGCATCGCATTGCTCCGAGCCGGGTGGGTCGGCGAGAGCGCGGCAAACCTCAGAGAGAGCTCCGCCACGCTGACGATCATTCATCGCCCGCCTGAGCGCTCCTTTCGGATCAAAGGGGAGCCCGTCGCTCGAGACGCACCATGGTGGGCATCGGAGGACGAGTTCGAAACGGGGGCGGCGATGCACTCAACCACGTGCGCGCCGCCTGCGATCCCGAGTGCACTGGCGTCCATTTCAGGCGCCGCCCCTTTGTTGGCAGGTGTGCTGCATGTGGAATGTGCTACACCACGTGCTGCTGCGACCTGGCGTGCGTGGCCGCCGGCGACTGCTGCGAGGGTGCCGAGGACGCCTGCGCAGGCTCGGCACACTTCAAGCCCTCCTCACCGCCGCCTCCGTCGCCGCTGCCGCCAAAGCCGCTCGCGACGTGCCCAGAGGAGCCACCATTTCCCGGCGAGTCGTGCTACGTACCCCCCACGGAGCTGTGTGAGTACCCTGGGGTGCGCGTCGACGCCGGCACCAGCAACGAGCTCTTCGACTGCCCCGCCCGGAGGGGGGAGGGCTGCGTCTTCGACGTCGCGGCGATGTGCGATATGACGACCATACAGTCCATCTTTTACGAGGGTGGCGGCATCTGGATGGTGATGGTCGGCGAGGTCAAGGGCGCCACCATGTCGTCCTCCCGCTTCAGCCCGCCGCCGCCACCGCAGTTTGAGGCGAACCTCGATGTTCTCTACACGGTGGCGACGGCCGAGCTGCCGATGATCGTTGGCCCACCGACAGAGCATTGGTGTGCGGGACTCTGGATATGCGGGACTCTGGAATCACCCTCACCCCTCGCCCCTCACCCCTCGCCCCTCTTGACCCTCGCCCTTCTGGCACTTCCTACCCCTCTGGCCCCCCTGGCCCCCCTTGCCCCCCTTGCCCCTTGCCCCATGCGCGTCCCCTCTCGCCCCTCAGCCCTCGCCCCTCGCCCCTCGCCCCTTAGCCCCTCGCCCCTCGCGCAGGTGCGAAACCCGGAGCTCCAAGATCCGAGCGCTGGTCGGGCTCGGGCGCGCCTTCTACGCGGAAGCTGCCAGGGTCTCCTTCGAGCTCGACCGCTCCGGGCCCGACGCGGACGACTTGCCGGCCGCCTGCATGACGGATGTGCCGTACAAAGGGGAGGCGGATATTCTCATCGTGTCCGAGGAGGGCGGCGGCGCTAGCATCCAGCTGCAGGGGCCCGGCCCGGGAGGCGAGCCCTGGCCGCGGCTACGTCTCCGCACGGTCGACGAGTGGACCCTCGGCACTGTCCTCGCTGTGCAAACGCGCGGATTTGCGATCGACAATGACTTTGTGTTTCTCAGCCACGCCGCCACCCTCACCCGTGGCGCATCCTCCCGGGCGGTGGAGGACTACGCGCTCGGGACAAAGTCGGTGCTCATCATGGCGGTTTGTCGCAGCGACGATGCCGACTGCAATGCAGCCTTCATAGAGGGCTCGTCGGGCAGCGGCATTGCCAACGCTGGAGGAAGCACCAAGGCGTACCTCGAGGCCGTGATTCAGCATGGGGCGAACCCGTTCTTTGAGGCCTCGTCGTGGGGGCAGTTTCAGCTCGTCGCGACAGTGCCGGAGCCGGTCCGGCTTCCAGGCTACTCGTCGGCCGACTGCCACAGCGCCACGCTCAACAGATACAACTCCAACCAGGCAGACACGGGCACCATCGACTTTCAAGCCGTCGCCGCCGTCCGCGACACCCACGGCATCGACGTGGACGATTTTGACTTTTGGGCTGTGGTGTTTCCAGGCTGCGGCTCGCTCGGCTGGACGGGCCTGGGCTGGGTCGGCGTGCCCGGCCTGCTGCTCAACCTGCGGTACACGTACGGCTACGATCCGTCCTTTGTCCACGAGCTTGGCGCGCGACATAGAAGAGACGACGAAGGTGGTAGTCGAATCTAGCCGAGGTGACTTTGAGGTCCCAGCCGAGGTGCAGCCAAGACGAACGCCGCAGCGCCCGCCGGGAGTCTTTGTCCAACCGCAAGCATACATGCAAGCTTGCTCGTAGGTCACAACCTCGGACTCAATCACGGCACCACCTACTCGGGAGGCACTCGGGGCCGCTCCATCGCAGAGTCAGCCTTCGTGGACAATGGCGCGGCCGAGCCCTCGGGCTACAACGCGTACGGCTCACCGGTGACGCTAATGGGCGGCGGTGGCACGCCGGACTCGGACCTCACCCTCCCCGCCAAGCTCATCAACGGGTGGGTCGACGAGAGCTCCATTGTCCTGCTTGAGCCTGGCGGCTGCTCCTCGGCGCCGTGCGGGCCGTACTACCTACAGCCGCTCGACGCGGGGGGAACCTTTGACCCGTCCGCGCCGGTCGGCGTCCGCGTGGCCTCAGAGGTCGAGGGCCGCTTCTTTTGGGTTGAGCACCGCACGCTCCTCGGGACAGGGTCCGCGGCGTACATTTGCTCGGCCTCGTACAGCTACACCTACGGCAATGGAGGGCTTGTTCGCAAAACGGTGATGGTCGACACAGCGACAGAGGGGAGCACGAAAGCGCCCGAGATCTACCCCATGGACGCCATAGAGCTCGATGTCTCCGCCGACGGCAGCAGTTTCCCACTCTGGGTCGACGTCGGCGTCGTCGACGACCAAGGCTTCCTCCCCGTCACCTTCTCGTCCTCGGCGCCGGCCCCATCGCCGCCGCTGCCACCGGACCCCCCCAGCGGCTACACGGGCTGCGACGACCCGTGCTGCAAGGTCCTGGTCATCGGTGACTCTGTTCCCGCCATTCATAGCTACCTATCGGGTGACACGATATTCCGACTTTCGGAGGAGGGCGGCACGTGCTGTACGATGGGCCGCGGCACGAGAGGGTCGCAATGCACGTACGTCGGCGTCACCCACGCCTCCTATTTCCTGCAGTACGTGGAGGCCTACGATAATTACTTTGTAATGGCGCACAGCAACTTTGGGCAAACTTGCTTGGACGGTGTACCTGGCTTCTACGCGCGGTTCACCGTCGAAGCACTCGCCAACATCCCGTGCGCGCGCCAGGATGGAACCTTCTACGAAGTTGCATCGCCACGACCGCCGATCCCGCCATCCCCGCCGCCGCCGCCACCGTCCCCGTCGCCACCGTCGCCCACTCCGCCCATCCCGCCCTGGCCTCCACTGCCCGCGGGTGACGAGATGTGCGGTCCATGTCCATGCAGCAGATGCGTCCCTACCCCGTCGTACGGCGACTCGTACGCGACTTACTGCACCTTTCCCGTGCGGCAGTGCGCCTCTCCACAGTGTGGATGCGCGCCACCGCGACCACCACCGCCTCCCGCGCCGCCACCACCATCGCCACGGTCGCCGCCCCCAGTGGCTCTGCCTCCGATGCCGAGCTGCGCCTCTGGCGCAAGCCTGTCAGGCACACGCGGCCAATGTGAGACGTGCTTCCACTCGGACCAGTGCTCCGGCGACCGCTTCTGCTGTCCCTTCATGAAAAAGTGCATCGCCAGCTCTGCGGATGGCTGCTCCAGCCCGACTGCTCGGTGCGACCCTCGCTGCTACGACTCGTCGTGCGACGCCACCGGCTGCGATAGCTCTTGTCTAGGCTGCCACCACGTCGGCGACGGCGAGGATTTCACGTGGCTCGAGTGGGCCAACCTCGCCGGCTCCGCAGGGTTCAATTCGTGGACCCCCACGTGCATCGAAAACCCCTCGCCCATGCCACCGCCACCGCCGCCACAACCGCCATCACCGCTGCCTCGGCCACCGCCGGCACCGCCGCCGCCGCCACCACCACCGACACCATCACCACCGCCGCCGCCGCCACCGCCGCCGCCGCCGCCGCCACCCTCGCCCTCGCCGCCCCCGTCCCCTTCCCCGTTGCCGCCGCCCTCGCCCTTGCCGCCGCCGCCCCCCTCGCCGCCGCCCCCCTCACCCGTTCCAGCCGTGCCAGTCGGGTCGCCACAGCGGCCGCCGCCGCCGCCATCGCCCTCGCCATCGCCCGCTCCACTCTCGCCGCCTCCCTCACCGCCACCGCCTCGGCCGCCGCCTCGGTCGCCGCCGAGGCTCACGGGGGCGTGCAAAGTGACCCTTCGGCAGCGGTTCCCCATGACCTGTGAGGACGCGGACCTCTTATGGCGCTCGCGGGTCATCCTCGCCGCTTGCGCGAAGCGCATCGTCGCCCCGGACGTATCGACAGAAGCGACATGCGACGTCGACTTTGCCTGCGGATCCCTCATCATGACCGCCGACTACAACACTGTGTCGGCCAGCGCCGCCGTCAACCTCGCCGCGTCCGTGGGGGCCACAGTCCACGCGGCCGCAGACGCTTCCCTGACCACGGCCGCCCGTCACAGCATCCGTTCGGCTACTCTAGGCGGCGACCTCGACGTTGCAGGCGGCGTCCAGCTTCTACGGCGCGAACGTGGAGGAGCTGCCCCTGATCACCATCGATGTACTCTCGCCCTCTCCGCCGCCACCGTCCCCCATTTCGCCCTCGCCGCCGCCCTTTGAACAGGGGCAGGAGTACGTACCCAAGGCGAGATGAGCTGGCGAGCGCGCGCGGGCGCATCAACGCCCGAGAGAGCGAGGGCTCCCCCTCCCATAGGCGAGCTCGGTTGTGCTCATTGTGTGCGCCGCCATCGCGGGTAGCCGCGACCTCACCTTTGCCCACACCAATGGGCCCAGCTTTCACTCAACGAAGTGTTGGGTCTCGTATTGTCGATATGAGGTGTGCGGGCCGGGCCGACGGACGTCGCGGTCTCTGCTGGGTCGTGGGTGTCGCATTTTTCCTCCTCTGCTTTTGGTATTCGTCCGAGAGAAAAACACGTGCAGCCCGCCGGGTTCGTGCAGCGTGGCTGCGCGCAGGCTGCGCCTCCGGGCCTGCCCCACGGTGCGCACGAGCGCGAGCTGGGAGCTGCGTGGCGGCCCTGCGGGGCGGGGGGAGCGGCAGCGGCCAGTGCTCAAACTTTACCGGTATGGGAGTTTTTGGCTAATCAAACCCAAGGCTGTACTAATCAAAAAGTGGTGCGGGATAGCAGTTGCCTCACGGAAATCAAAGCGAGTCGGAGTGCCTTCTTGGTGGCAAAATCGGCAAAATCGGCAAAATACCGGGTATTTGCGGGTATACCTGAAAAAACCCGGGTATACCTGGCTGGGTAATTAATACCCGCACTTTTGCATGGTTTCGCCCCCGGGACCACACCGACAGCCGCTACAACTAATCAAAACCCCCGCATACCACTTTCGCATACCACTGTACCATACCACTCCAAAACTAATCAAAATCTCACCAAATACCGGTCTCATACCGGTAAAGTTTGAGCACGACTGGCAGCGGCGGGGAGGCCGGGGAGCGTGCGGCTGCGGTCGAGGGACGAGAGCTCTGCCAGCCTGCCAGCGGAGGTGCCAGCGGCAGCGCTGCCACCCCTGAGCAGAGCGAGAGCCCTGACCCCTGTGAGCTGTGTGCCCTGAGCGACCCCCTCAGCCCTCTCGCTCTCGCGCGCCCGGCCTCGGCGCGGCCGTCGGGGCGGGGTGCTCGCGAGGATCTCGGGACGACCCTGGAAGCTGAGGTTCTTTTGGCATAGAACTAGAACGCGAAAGTCTCCTCACTCTTACGGACTTCCAACAGCCTTACTCTCTTGTCTCTAATCTAATCAACAGGGCGCTCAGTGGGGTGTGCGAAAACACAAACGATTATGATAATTAGCAGTGTCCTCATCCATTGAGCGCGCGCGAGTCGCTGAGGGAGCGCTCAAACGCCTCGATCTCCTCGTGCAGATTGTTGAGGTTGCTGCGCGGCTCCCAGGTGTTGTGGTGCGTCGCCCACCTGGGGGGGGGGGAGGAGGGGGGAGGGGGGTCAGACCCGGCACCCGCGACGCCGCGCCGGCCGCTGCGCACCCCTTCCACTTGATTAGGTACTGAACCTCCCCGTCGTGCGACCGCACACCGAGGATGTCCTCCACCTCATACTCGGCGCGCGAAAGCCGCCTCCGCCGCGGCGGTGGCGCGTCGCCATCGCGCTCTCCCTCGCCACCCCGGCCACCCCCCTGGCGCGGCGAGGTGGGCCCCGAAGCGGAGCTGGCGTCAGACGTCTGGTAGACGGGGGAGACGGCCTCGCGCCACGCCTCTATGCTCTCGCCAAAGTCGTGTCTGTGCTCCACCGTCACCAGCCCCGTGGCGGGCCCCCGCGTCCCCGCGCTCCCGCCGCGCCCGCCAGAGCGCCGATCGCGGCCCTTGCGGGCGCGTGGGCCCGCGGACGCCGCCGGCTGATCGGTCGCTGAAGCGACGCGCCGCCGCGTGCACGCGTATGGGTGCGCGCCCACCCCATCATGCCGCACGCCGACGCTCAGCATGTGCGCGAGCGTCGGCTGGATATGGCAGATCATCTCGTTCTCCTGTGCCGAGTAGACGCGGCGCGCCTCTCGCGCCTCCTCGCGAGAGAGCTGGTGGGCCGGCGCGACGGGGGGGGCGGCCGAGGAGCAAGCGCCGCCCGCGTCTGCCGGCGCGCACGCGTCCGCCCTTCCGTCCTCGTCGCCGCCGCCGCCGCTGGCCGCCGCCGCCGCCGCCGCCGCCAGTGCGTCGGCGCGCTGCAGGTGCGGGTTGGTGTGCTGAAAGTGCTGCGCCTTGTAAAAGCTGGCCGAGGAGGGGTACGTGTAGACGAGAATCTGCGTCTTGCCCAGCGCGCGGCAGAGCTCCTTGAGGAAGTGCACCGTCAGGCGCGCGAAGCCCTTGCGTGTCATGCGCGGGTGAGTCGCGAGCAGCCGCAACATCATTGTCGACGGCGGGCGCAGCGAGAAAGTAGCGGCGGTCACGCAGATGGGCGCGTCCGCCTCTGGGTGCTTGTAGTAGAGCACCACCGTGGTGGACTCGACGTGCCGGATCACCTGCTCGCACGTAATGCCGCCCGCGAGCGAGAGGTGGTTCATGTCGCGATAGAGCTTGAGCGCCTCCAGCTCGTCCGCCTCGCTCTCCGCGACGCGCAATTCGAGCGGTCCCAGCGGGTCAAACATGTCGGCGAGCACGCCGATCGCCTCGCGCGCCTCCGCGTTGCAGCGGTGCGCATCGTCGTTCAGCCCGCGGAATTTGAGCCCGATGCGCTCGTACGACGATGATGCGGCGCCCCCCGCGGCGAGCGCTGCGCCGCCGTTGCTCGACGATGGCCCCGCGGGAGCGGCCGGCGCAGGCAGCTCGCCGGACGGATTGCGGCTGCGGTGAGGCCGCGACGCCGCCGCGCTCGCGGACCGCCCATCCTCCAGGCCCATAAGCGCGCAGAGCGCCGCCTGCGCGCGGAGAGCGGCGAGGCGGAGGGTGGGGTGGGGGGGGGGGGGAGGGAGGGGGGAGGGGGGGGGGGGCCTTACGGGCCCGCCAAGGGTAAGGCGGGGCGGGTAAAGCCGGGCGGGGCGGGCGGTCGGGGCGGTCTGCGCTTCCACCCCCTTCCCCTTTGAGCTCTGCAAAAAAAAATTATGG